TAATAATTATAATTGAATGTTTCAACATTTTTAATAAGAAAAGGCCAGTATTTTCTCTTTTTTCTGTACAATTTGGGTCAGATTTTTTACTAAAAAAATACCAATGAGGCATGGGATTTGGGCTCAACAGTCCTAAAGGAAAATTTTAGGCCCGACTTCGGCCTGGTCTGATCACCGATCCAAATCAAACCCTAATGAAACCGGATGCGGGTTTCCCAAACATCCAAGGTGAAACCCGACCCAACCCTCACCAGTCGCCTCCCTCTCTCGTCCTCCTGTTGTTTCAGCGAACCGAAAGGATAGGATAGATTGAACGAGGCTCAGGAGCGCATGGCATTGCCTTCGTCGGACGCTTCACACTTGCAGATTCATCTCTTCAAGGGGATTTCATCATCTAATTGAATTCGTATCGGCACCCCGGGAATCCGGTAATAATGATTTTCTTTCAATTCTTCGAATTTATGCTTTCCAATTTTTCAATAATTTTTTTTTTTATTGGGGTTCTCCATTTCACTTCCTCTAACTCGATTCGCATTTCAAATCGTTTTCCTCTGCGAAAGTTTTGTTCTTTTGTCTATTTTTTTGCTTCTTGGAATTGGGTATTCTTTATCATTTCTTAATTATCTGAATTTCACTCAGAATTTTTAAAAGGAGCTCCTTTTTATTGCTTTATCGTTCGTGAATTTCTCTCTCTCTATGTCTACGCTAGCTATATAGACTTACTGCTGGAGATTGAATCTCCATACTGGTTATCAGAATTATATGAACCTTTTTTTTGGGGGGGTGGGTCAATTTACCCTTTTTTTTTTTCCTTATAATTAGTATTAATATTCTATACGCCAAGCCTCTGCAGGTCTGTTAAAGAAATCAAAGCTTGATCTCTAGTTGAAGACTGACCAATGTTTTAACTGACGCAGAACATGGAGGACATGGACCTTGATCTTGTAATGGAGGTACCCGACACTCCAGATAGATTGTTAGGAAAGAAAAATATAGGCAGGGAATTTCCTGACAATGGAAAAGATGTATCAGTTGCTAGTCAGGTAGGAGCTTCTGATGCTATGGGTGAACAGTATTTTGATGGCCTAAGGGGCAGGAATAGGCTGGTCAGGGGAAATGGGCGCCATAGGAAACTGCAATTGCACCAGAGTAAGAGTTATTGCAATGGTGGGATCAAGCATCAAAACGAGATTGTGGATTTATCATCTCCAGATAACAATTCTTATGGTTCAAAGAATGTTTCTCTTTTTAGGAGATCATCAGTAGACAATAACTCCAAGCATGAGACCAAGAATACCATTGGAGGTCAGCATCATTTGGCTAAGGGAAAAGCTATATGTTCTATAGTTCCTTCTCAATCACTTGGATGTACAAAAGATGGTGCATTTTTTGATTTAACTGAACAGAATGGAGACAGCCAACCTCTTGAAATGGCTATTCCACATAGTAGACTGAGGAATCTTTTAGCTGAAGAGAGAAGAGAAGATCAATTATCCAAAAATGGTGATTCTTTTTTGCATACTACCCTGAATTCCTCAGGGAAACACAGCAACACCCACAAAGGGAAGGAGAAAATGGATGATAACCACTGCGAAAATGTTGGTTCTGTTTTGGGTAAGGGAAAGGCAATTGATCCTTCTGGTGGGTCTAATGAAACTGAGAAAAAGATGTCTGCATCTAATCATTCTGTTGTGTTACCAGGAGTTGCTGGGAAAAGGAGATTGGTCCGAAATGGGTGCATCTCCCCAGAGAATATAGTTGTTAGGACTAAACAATTTGGTGAACACATACAAAACAGCTTGGAAGATGTTGAACAGAATCATATAGAGAATATCGTTTCCAGTAGTCCATCTAGAATAAGCATTGCTGACATAATTGCTGAAGAAAATAACTACCGCAAAGGAAAAGGAGTAATTGATCCTCACACATCCATGGAGCACAACATAAATATGATCAATTTATCTAGCAGGTAGTTTCTTGTTCAATTCTCAGAAATTAATAGATTAGTTGATGTCTTGGTCTTCTATTTTCTTTTCCTGTAAACTATTTATTTTGTACACTTTTAAAGTGGGTAAAGCATTTACTTTTCTCTTTTTTCTTTTTTTTTTTTTCTTTTTTCTTTTTAAAAGTTATCAAATTTTTTACTTTTGCATGCATAAAAGTCTATAAATCTCAATTTTACTGCACTTCCTTTTAGATTTTTGTATGTAGGATAGAATATTAGTGCTAGCCTCTTTTATGTTACCAGTTCCTCTTCTTTCCTCAAAGACATGATTTGCTTTCCAGGGGAGATGTGGTTTGCTTAATCTTATTGCTTCTAACTCTTTCTAATTCCATAAGGTTTCTTAGAAGTTTTTATCTTCCATCCTTAATAACTCTTAATGCTAATTATATCCAGCAGTCATCAATTTTTGTCTTTGCTAAAAGCATGGCTATATTAATGGAGTTTAAATTCTGATTTTTTCAACCTTGGGTTGGCTTTTTGACAATCTGATCTAATTCTGATAGTAATAACAGTTGCCCCAAGGGTAAAATTTTAAGAAACAGATTCTAGATTTTATATTAGTTCTGTTGTATTAACAATCCCCTTTTCATGTTACCACATATACCTGTGTTTCTTTGTTTGTGTAGGCTGTAGTGTAGATGGAGCATTCCCATAGGCTGTAGCAGAATGTTCTTTTTATGATGTTTATTTACCATTTATACCTGTGTTTCTTTGTTTGTGTGGGCTGTAGTGTAGATGGTGCATTCC